ACACACACACACACAAATTTTAGGAAAGCTAAAAAAACATATTAAACTTGTAATAATATATACCAATAACATTTGTTATGTGTTTTTTTTTTTTGCAGTTTTTGGCTGTGGCTGGGTTTGAATCTGCCACCTCCGGCATACAGGGCCAGCGCCGCCCCATTTGTTATGTTGTATATTGTATCTTATATCTCTTGTAATTGCAGAAGTCAAATGTGACCAGAGTATTATAATTTTTTTTTTGCAGTTTTTAGCCAGGGCTGGGTTTGAACCTACCACCTCTGGCATATGGGGCCAGCGCCCTACTCCTTTGAGCCACAGGCACTGCCCGAGTGTTACAATTTTAATACAATTTTTTCCTTTTTTAAAATGTGCATACATTTTTTTGGCATCTCTGTGTATACATACATTCTTAAACATACACATTCTATATAAGTAGAGATAAAAGAAGTTATGGTGAATTCTATATATGAATTTATAAATACACACACACCTACCCAGAGATAAGGAGAGGGGGAGAGAGAGAGAGAGATAAGAAGGTGATGGGGTTCCAGACACACTACCCTAAAATACGGCATTTGAGAAAACAGCAAAATCAAGGTCTCTTTGATCTTCTCCTCATCCTTTTCCCTTGAAGCAGGAAGGCCAAGGAATTATTTTCTGGCCTGCCTTGAAGAAGGTCATAAGATCTTCATTTCAGAGCTGTCCCCCCATACCTGGAGGAAAGAAATGTCCTTACTTGTGGAGACATAAGGACACAGAGAAGAATTGGAGGAAATAGGTCTTGCCATGCAGTCCCCCACCACCCTGCCTTAACCCTCAGTTGATCACCATTAGAGCATACCCACTTTGTCCAATTATATTTCCCTGATATCTACTTGTCTTCAAACCTAAGCATAAAAATACATAAAAAACATGTATTTTTAGGTCTTCATTTCTGAAGGCTCCTGTGTCAAATAAAACCTACATTAGATAAACTTGTATGCTTTTCTCTTATTAATATGTCTTTCTTTTTTTTTTTTCTTTGCGTTTTTTTGGCCAGGGCAGGGTTTGAACCCAACACCCTCAGCATATGGGGCTGGTGCCCTACTCCTTGAGCCATAGGCGCTGCCCCAATATGTTGTTTGTTTATAGAAGTCTCAACCACCAACCTAACATTGGGTAAGAAAAATCTCTCCACCTCTACAAAGCAGAAGAGGCATGTGGCAAGAAAGGGAGGACAGGGAAAGGGAGAGAAAAGGAGAGGGAGAAAGAGGGAAATTACTAGAGAGAATTTTCTGTACCTACTGTACTTTAATCACCGAAAGGACCTATTAAAACACAGATAGCTGTTTGCAGAGGCCTGAGAATTATCATTTCTAACTAGTTCCCAGCTCATGCTGATGTTGCTTGTCTGGGACCACACTTTGCCTGGTATGTCCCAGAAAATCACATACAAACTATTATCTCTAGAAATTAATGATACCCCTGTTTTAAAAAATGTTTAATAAGTGATAATGACAACAACCACTACTATCAAAGCATAAAATGAACCATATATACAAATGTGTCCTATTAAAGATACCTCACTACATACAAATGTATACTTATAGAAAGACATTGTAATACTTTTTTCCTGATTATAGAAGATCAATATAGTTGCAAAATGACCCTTTTTACAACTTAGACATATAAAAACAAATGAGTCAAGTAACATTCCCAACTCAGAAACAAGTATTGTGGATATTTTGGAGAATTTCCTTCTGGTCTTTCTTGTATGGCTAATAACTTTTGATTGCTAATTGATAAGAATGTTTCAGAGAAAAGTAAGCAAACTAACCATAAAGAATAAAGGAAACCAAATCGCTGCTTTAAAGTTAGAGTTAAATCCATTAAAAATCAATAATGATTATAGACATAAAATTTCTTTAGATGGGAAAGTAATAGACTTGGAATTGTAAGGAAGGATAATAGCACAGTCTGGGGCATACTATTTTAAGATCCACTATGGTATATTAATATTTTGTGCTATTATTTTATCAGGTACTGATAATTGTGCCTTGAAAAACTTGATTTTATAAGGTTTTCTGAATTCTTCAGCTGTGTTTTATTATAACCTGGGGCCAAATTTATTTTCCATGGGAACACAGCTCTCATTTTATAATGGAAGTCAATGGGGAAATCAGACCATTTCTGGAAAATTACTTTGCAGCCGACACTTAAGGAATACACCATGAGTTTAAAAGTGAGATGCCCCCTTCCTATGTTCTTTTTTTGGCTACTTAAGTGTTAGCATTCACATCAACAACACATCTCCTTTCATACTAACAAGTGACATCATTAAATCTTTCAACCCTCAAGTCCATTTTGATGTCAGTAGACCTGAAAGAATACATTTCTGACAGACTGTACTTTCTTTTTCCCAGGAAGAGTACATAAAGCTTCACAGACATTCTGATTTTACCTTTCAGACTGTCACCATACATTTTTTGATTTTAAGAAAAAGTTAAACATCCTATTTAAGTGGAGCAGAAATAAGAGTCTTCATGTCTTAGCACAGAATGAAAATGCGACTTTAGTTTTCGAGTCTCTTTCCTAAATAAAACAGATTCATGCCAGAGACTTGCCAGGCAGAAACACTTTGCAAAGGTCACTTACTTGTAATCTATTTGCAATCCAAATCACTAAACTGTTTGTATATTTCAGAAAGCTCAACATCCGTACAACACAGAGAAAAAGCCAAAGATAACAAAGAAGGCAAAAATGAGTATGTTCCCCATTTATCATAACAATTTTTTACCAGCTAAAACATGTCCATGTAGTGATACACAATTTTATAAATTTGTTCTTATAAAACAAAAAATGATTTCAGCAATTCTGTCTGTATACCAAAGTGAGAAAAGTTAAAATATCCTGCGAATGTTTTATTTTTAAAATAACCAATAGAAAGCAGTCTCGTCTCTTTATGTCCTTCACTTATCTTCCAAGTGATTATTTTGTACAAAGGCTAGATGACATGAGTCAGCACTGACGTCTTTCACAATTGCAACCAAATCATCAAATGCTACGTCAGATTGCAGGTAAGAAAGGAATTGGATAACATCATGTCCTTTCATCCCTTTATTTCCTTTGAGAAATTCTTATTTTATTTTTTGAGCAGGCACTAAACACAAGATAGAGGTTGCTTCTATGCTAAATATTATTGACAAGGATCATTAAAGCCTTAATCTCCAGTCCCAAAGAAGTGTGTAATCTAATAGTACAAATACTTCCGCCATCATCAATTTGCATGTATATAAGCCTTTACCATTTCCAAAATATATTTCCTTCCATTACATACCATATTGTTCATAACAGCCTTTTAAAAGAGAGACAGAAATATTACTATTCAAATTTTAGAGTTGTGGAAGCTAGATAAAAGGCACTCATTCATCTAGGGTTAGAATGGCGCATCAAGATAGTCTCTGGCATAATAGCTAGTACTTCTCATTCAGGAGAAGTGTATTATTTACAATGATAATGACCTTCGTGTTGCCAAATCCAACATTCACTCCTTTGTTCTCTGTTTGAGATCTCAGCAGCATATAACACATTTAGCCACTGCTCTTACTTTCTGTGACACACACCCTCATGCTTTAAAAGTTTCTTCTCTTACTTCTTCTCCTTCTCTGGCAACTTCTGTAAAACATTAGAGTACCCTGAGG